TGTAACGGCCCGTTTTGCACACAAGGGGTTAAAACCGGTTAGGCGATCGTCCCCTTTCAGAGACACAGGCACAACTACTGCAGAACACCAATCCGACGAACAGGAACTTACTTACATTTTCAGAATCAGCATACTCCAAATACAAACATATGTCAAATTCATACAAATTGGTCCAATGGTTCAAAAGATAGATCATAGTCCTTTGTGACCAAAGGAAGCATGGTTTTCTGCCCAAAACCAGTTCCACAGAGTCTTCTATCCTGGAGATAATTGGGAAGTAATCCAATTATCTCCAAAGACAGAAGCAAAACTCCATTGAACACATGGCAGCAAAAGACAATAAAACACATAAAAACATATAACTGTGCAGCCATTGCACAAAACAGGTACATTCAACATATCCCCAGATAGCTCAGATCTGAGCGCACATTATTACTGAATGGCGCTCAGAGCACACACATACAGTTCAATTGCCATGGAGCCAAAGTCTTTCCCATAGTCTTTCATTATACGAATAGGCTCATTGGCATAGCTATCTGGGGTATCACCGCTCAAACAGGGCAAGCACCGAATGACCCGGCTTTCTTGTCTTTGCAGGGGAAAATCAAGCCTTTTAACATGGGGCCATAATCCAAAGGCAACAGGCAAGCAACCAGGCTTCTCTAATGCAATGTGGCGAGATTGCTCTCTGTGACGGAACGCTGGCACTCCGACTGAGTACCTCCGCCAATCGATGCTCCTAGTGCTCGCTGAGGACTCCAAACGACACCATCAGCACTGCAGACCCCACTTCCAGCGATGCAACTGCGCCCTGGTCTCTGCTGCCTCCACCCACCCTGGACCCAAGGCCAGGATCCAGCTACCAGTGGGTGAACCTCTGTTTCCCCAGAGAGCAGGAACAGGAACAAATCAAGCTATTGCAAGAGCTTCCTCTGGGGAGTAAGTGATTATAGCAATCCCCAGAGTGTAGGTATCCCTTCCCCCAAACATGAGCCAAGGCTTAATGCTGGAACAAGACTGATTTACTGGCACACAGAACTCACAATTTATGCAACACAAAACTCCTCCTCTGGGCCAGGCTAGATAATTGAGTTTCCACAATACACAAAGCTCAATTATCTGCTGGCCAGAAATAATACAGTTTCATAAAACACACAGGGACCCCAAAACATGCAATAACCCCATAAAAGTATATCCTTGGAACCGGGGGATCTGGGTGAACCACATATCCAAAATTCACCCAGATCCGATTAGTACTTTGGAAAATACAGTTTAATGCAGATTCTGCAGAACATATACAGGCTAAATGAAAAACAATCACTTTATAATGTGTCCCCTGCTGTATAGTCCAAAACCACTGCACGATGTCTCTGTGCACCAAATACTGGCAAGATGGCACCGTGTTGAAAAGTCCAAACAGTGTCTGTGAGTTAAAATGGCGCCATCCATTGTTCTCACCATGTGCTTCTGATACAGGAAATGGTGGCCACCCAGTAACTCCACAGTATGTCCCCAGATGGTTCTTAAAGGGCCAGCAGCAGCACAACACAAATCCATTATGCCCAAATCATGTCTTTAAAGGGCAATACATCCCAAGGGCCATAGTCACAGGGCAAGAGGCGGGCAAGCAGTCCTCTCCAGGCCTGAGTTCCAGGGAAGATGTGTGACGAAGTGCCCTTCGCCACTGGTGCTCTTATTATGGCCGAGGGGACTGGTTTCGGGATGGCTCTGAATAGGTAGAGAACTTTAGGGTCTGTATAGGCCTTGATAATATTAATCCATCCTAACCACGATATCTCTAGGCTCTTCCATCGACTAATGCAATCTTTAAGATCTATAATCAGGTTTGAATAATTTCTGGAGATCAAATTCCTAGGTTTAGTGCAGAGTTTAATTCCCTAATATTGGATCTCTTTATTATTCCAATCTAGTGTTTCAAACTCTTTCAAGTTGGGGATTTCTAAGTCCGATAAGTAAAATTGAATAATTTGAGTTTTAGAAAGATTTATTTTATAATTAGAATACAAACTATATAATTGTAGTAATTCTAAAACTGCATAGAACGAGGAGCTAGGGGAAGACAGTGTTAGGAGAACATCATCTGCATATAGGGATATTAAATGGTCTTGGTTTCCTACCCCTCTATCTGTAATATTCAATGCTTTATATATTTTAATTGTAAGGACAAGAAGGGGAGCCAGAGGACAGCCCTGGCAAGTGCCGCTATGTATTTCAAGTCTCATAGAGCTAAGAAAGAGACCTGTGCTCCTCGCACCTGGAACCGTTTACAACGTCAAATCTGCGAACCGACCGATGAGTCCAAATACCTGCAGAGTCTGTGCTAAGAATCTCCAGTTTACTCTATCAAACGGTTTTTCTGCGTCAATCACCATAATAATTGATGGAATTTTTCTGCGTGGATTTCGTTAATGATGTTAATGGCTCTACGGATATTGTCCTCTCCTGCCCTACCTGCCACAAATCTATAACGATTCTTAGTAACAAGACAATGGGACAATACTGCCATTGGTTATTTTTATTAACATATCTGTTCTTTCTATAGATCATATACACAAAGACAAAAACACCTACAGACATGTGCAGACACATACATATTTATACACACCAACACAGAAAAAAATTCACACAAGCAGGCACATAAATATAAACACACACAAATGCATACATACACACACACATAGATAAACACTCACACATACAAGCACACACACTCACAATGTGGTGTTAATGGTGTGACTGTAATGGGAGACTTTCGATCCCTTGCAGATTTGGCAGCCCTTTGAATTTAACAGGCCCCGTTAATTTGGCAGCCCCCATGAATTTGGCGGCCCTGTTAATTTGGCGGTCCGGTTAATTTGGCGGCCCGGTTAATTTGGCAGCCCTGCTAATTTGGTGGCCCCGTTCATTTGGCAGCCCTGTTAATTTGCCTGCCCCGTTAATTTAGTGGCCGCATTGTGCCCTTAGTGAGCTGGTGGAAGGATGCCAATTCTCCTACACCTATCCCTGATTTTATGAATTCATTACAAGGTGTCGCTGATCTTGATGTCGTTTTATATGTAGTATAAATTCAACTGACAGGAGTTATGACCTCAGAATCCAGGCATTTATGACCCATGTATATTTCAGTGTTTTTCACCACCGAGAGCCATTGTCAGCACATCTGACGGAGACTCTGAGCGGTGTGCACAGCTTCACTGGCATTATATATCTGAGATAAATCACTGCATGCTGCATCATGCATAAATTCTCCTTGCTTAACTCATTTTCTGTACTTGTGGCTTTCAGTTCTGCTTGTTCCAAGTTTCCGAGTGTAATAACTGTCGGCAGTGATCAGATATGGCCACGGGATAAAGCACTGGGGATCTGGCCTTCTGTGCAAGAGATCCTGAGATTAAATGTAAGCTTTTTCTTTATTCCCCAAAATTGCCTGTCTTGCCTTAACCCCACACGTTATACAGAGGACGGCGAGCTGCAAGCACCAGAGGATTCTGAGTAAGGATGCTTAATACAAAATTATTGGAGAAGACGTTGGTCAAAGAATGTGCTACATACAATCAGGAAACATTCTTTATCTTGCCTTTTATTTGATAACCTGAAATGAATCTGCTACTGCTGCAGGTTACTTTTATACCAGACAAAGAGAGAATCTGTGAGGGTGAAATACAGGGAAGGACTGGTTATGGTTAATATTAAGGGTCAAGTTATGGTTCATCTTAATATTAAGGTTCTAGTTATGGTTAATATTAAGGGTTCAAGTTATGGTTCAGGATAATATTAGGAGTCAAGTTATAGTTAAGGTAATATTAAGGGTCAAGTTATGGTAACGGTTATTATTAAGCGTTCAAGTTAAGGTTAATATAAAGGGTCACTTTATGGTTAATATTAAGGGTCAAGTTATGGCTAAAGTTAATAATAAGGGTCAACTTATGGTTACGGTTAATATTAAGTTATTATTGAAGTTATTATTAAGGGGCAATTTATGGTTATGGTTAATATTAAGGGTCAAGTTATGGCTAAAGTTAATAATAAGGGTCAAGTTATGGTTAAGGTTAAAATTAAGGGTCAAGTTATGCTTGTGGTTAATATTAAGGGTAAAGTTATGGTTAAGGTTAATATTAAGGGTCAAGTTATTATTATTACGGTTGATATTAAGGGTCAAGTTATGGTTGAAGTTATTATTAAGGGGCAATTTATGGTTATGGTTAATATTAAGGGTCAAGTTATGGCTAAAGTTAATAATAAGTGTTCAAGTTATGGGTAAGGTTAATAGTAAGGGTTCAAGTTATGGGTAAGGTAAATATTAAAGGTCAAGGTAGGGTTGAGGTTAATATTAAGGGTCAAGTTATTGTTACAGTTGATATTAAGGGTCAAGTTATGGTTGCCGTTAATATTAAGGGTCAAGTTATGGTTGAAGTTATTATTAAGGGGCAATTTATGGTTAAGGTTGATATTAAGGGTCAAGTTATGGTTCAGGTTAATATTAAGGGTTCAAGTTATGGTTACAGTTAATATTAAGGGTCAAGTTATGGTTACAGTTAATATTAAGGGTCAAGTTATGGTTAAGGTTAATATTAAGGGTCAAGTTATGTTACAGTTAATATTAAGGCTCAAGTTATGGTTACAGTTAATATTAAGGGTCAAGTTATGTTACAGTTAATATTAAGGGGTCAAGTTATGGTTACAGTTAATATTAAGGGTCAAGTTATGGTTAAGGTTAATATTAAGGGTCAAGTTATGTTACAGTTAATATTAAGAGTTCAAGTTATAGTTGTGGTTTATATTAAGGGTCAAGTTATGGTTAATATATAGGGTTCAAGTTATGGTTAATATTAATATTAAGGGTCAAAATATGGTTAAAGTTAATATTAATTGTTAAAGATTTCCCTGTACCCATTCGGTTATTTCCTCTCCCTGCTAGTTAAGTGACTTTAAAGTATTCGTTTTATTTCTGTGTTCGGGACATTTATTCATTCTACCGAACGGAGATCACCCTGGGTAGCAATCAGAACTTAGAACACCAGGTAACCACGAAAACCGCAAGGTAATTGAGTGCTTCTAGGTGGCCGCCATTCGGCATACGAACACGTGGCGAGAACAAAGGATGGCGACCATCTTAAATCTCCCGAACACGGCCAGCGGGACTTACTCATGGATTGCCTGGACCATTTTCGGCATGGCAATCACACGAACACCCGGTCTCCATGGAAGTCCCGTCTGACCTATTTCCACTCACAGTATCAGACTGGCATTCGGGAGTTTCAATCAACCGAATGAGGGGAGCAGTCATATGTAACCAGATACTGTATAACTGTGGTGGTTTACGTGTAATTCTGCACGAACGGAGACCGGCTCTTGCTACCAATTTCATGGAACTCTAACTCGGATACAACCACATGGCGAACCGGTCAAACTTCCACACGATGCGACACGGAAACTACCAAACGGATTTTCGTGCAATTTGGATATGTTACTCCCAGTATCCTCAGCTACCCAGGGATGTTTTTATATTCCTATGTCATGTATAAAGTATATTTCTAAAAATGTTCACAATTGTTAATGTTTCTGGCCAGCAGATAATTGAGTTTAGTATGTTGCTGAAACTCAATTATCTAGCCTGGCGCAGAGGAGGAGTCTGTTACTGTATAAATTGAATGCCTGTTGCTTCCAGTAAATCAGTCTTGTTCCAGCATTAAGCTTTGGCTCATGTCTGGATTATTTGGCGATACCAGCGGTATTTTACCCTGTGGATTATTGTTGTTATTCTGCTATTGGGAAAAAGGGAATACTAGACGGTAATACAAATCACTACCGTCACATTAATATTAAGGGTTCAAGTTATGGTTACCGTTAATATTAAGGGTCAAGTTATGCTTTAGGTTAATATAAAGGGTCAAGTTATGGTTAAGGTTAATATTAAAGGTTCAAGTTATGGTTAAGGTTAATATTAAAGGGTCAAATAATGGTTAAGGTTAATATTAATATTAAGGGTCAAGTTATCAAGTTATGCTTAAGGTTAATGTTAAAGGTCAAGTTAGGGTTAAGGTCAATATTATGGTGAAATCTGAACATCATTACATTGTCATATAATCTGACCATCATTACACTGTCATATAATCTGACCATTATTACAACGATGGTCAGATTATATGACAGTGTAACGATGGTCAGATTATATGACAGTGTAACGATGGTCAGATTATATGACAGTGTAATGATGTTCAGTTTATATGACAGCGTAATGATGGTCAGATTATATGACAGTGTAACAATGTTCAGTTTATATGACAGTGTAACGATGGTCAGATTATATGACAGTGTAACGATGGTCAGATTATATGACAGTGTAACGATGTTCAGTTTATATGACAGTGTAATGATGGTCGGATTATATGAGAGTGAAAGAGAGAGACAGATACAGGATCAGATATAAACAACCAGACAGAGAATCGGAGACAGACAGACACTGAGGTAGATACAGACAGACATATAAAGAGGTATGGACAAATACAGATTAGGTACAGAGAGACACAGAGGTTTATACAGACAGACAGTCAATCAGGTTTATACAAACAAACACTGTGGTGGATACAGAGAAACTGACAGTTATTGTGGTAGATACAGACAAACAGACAATGAGGTTCATACAGACAGACACAGAGTTTAATACAGACAGACTCACAGATTCATGGACAGTGTCAGATCCAAGCCTCAGCCATACATGACAGATATTAAAAATGGTGACTTACAGTCTGAGGGCACGTAGGACCAAGTTTAATATTAAATTTATATATTTAATTATTATTTATTTATAATATATTTTACCAGGAAGGATACATTGAGATTTCTCTCGTTTTCAAGTACGTGTTGGGCCTACAAAACACTGAATTGTTACAATTGGATACAATATAATATCACAAAAATAATGACATATACAATATATATATAATTACATACACACATTTATACATTTAACATGACAGGTGTATAGTCGCCATTTTGGGCAGTCGGAATCCAGGACAATTACCCCATAACCTAACCCAATAACGCACGGACACTAAGGGATATGGGGAAATTTGTCCACAGCTTTATTAAGCAAACAATAATAATAACAACAATAATAATGATAATAACTTAACAAGTAAACATGGGTCATTGCCCCCCATACTCCGCCCTCGCATCCTATTCCTTCCATTAACATATAAAGGGCAATGACCCCCATGTAAATAAACATATATATATAAAACATACATCAACATTATTCCAATCGATGTAAAGTGCCAACCATCCATTAGCCACGGCAGGGGTATACCCGGATACCCCTACCCCACCAGGTTCTGAGCCACCGACAGGACTCGAAACCTATCAACCACCGATGACCACCACTTGTTTATTTTCCATTACGTTCATCCTGGGGAGCCTATTTCCTTTCCTTCAGCTCCCCATCCCGCCGCTGTGAAAAAACGGGACAAAACCACACATAACAAAACAGGGAGGGTGGGAGGGACAAACTTAACCAGGTAGGAAATTAGAATGACTTACCTAAAATGGCTGCCCATTTAAATAACCAAACCTACTTACCCATAACTCCACTCCCTTGCTTACTTCCTCCTAAGCCCGCCTCCTAACCCCTGTCAAGGCCTTTTTTCGCTTAGCTGCGCTTGGCTACATGGGGCTACACGTAATAGGTAATAAATATAGCCAGCCGTGACAGTTGCACTCTGTATTGGGGTATGTTGCCATAGATCTATTAAAGGATTTTTTATTAAATGACCCAGATCTTTATATAACCAGAAACTGCCTGACCATCTATTTCCAGATTAAACATAGCCACCTCTGCTGAGCAGCCTTTCCGTGCATCTGCTACCCTGTTCCTGTGAGGCAGGAGGCAGGCCGTGGGTGTGCATGGTTCTGTACTGCTCTCGCTCGGCTTTCCCTGCACCTGGCAGATTACCAGCTGTTAATAACAGTCTCTTTACTTCACAATACACTTGACTTGAAAGAAGATAATGGAAGCACAGGGTGGGATTGGCACTTCGTATTCTGTGTCTAGAGATTAACGCTGTGATGGGAGGGGGCAGCCTATGGCGCAGGGCTGTGCATGGTCCTCTTGTGGATCAACGGGAAAAGATTTAACCCCTTGATTGAGCAGCATCCGGGTGAATTATCTTAGCAGGTGTTAGCGTCTATCACAGGAGAGAACCAACGCCATGCAGACAATTATCTGCCGTCTTTTTAGGACAGATTGAGTTGGAGAAAAGGAGTCAGGGGTCGCCTGTCATTTTAAAGGGGATCACTGACATTTAAACAGGTTCATTTTATAAAACTTGTATTTTTTATATATTTGAGATACTTTCATTAAAAAAAAAAAAGAATCTGAATTCATGAAAGTGAAATTACAGCTGCTTTCTGTAGAGATGAAGAGTATTTAACCCAACATTTTGGGTTTCTGACGGTACATTGGGATGGATGTTTCCCATGAGCCGGGGTTACACAGTGAGCTGGTAAACGCTGACTCTCTCGTTTGCCAAATATTTACAGTTTGGGCTCACTGAAATCAAATGAAAAATAATGCTAGAGAATTCTTCTGACAGTATCATTAGATTGGAGCACCATGGGAAAAGTAACAATTTGCATGCAGTGCCCTGTCTGTGCCTGTTTGAATGGCATTTGTAAAATCAGAGTGCAGTTTTATTAATAACATTAATATATATCGGCATGGAGATTTTCTTTATAAAATAACATGAATTGATAGCGATAGAACTTTTATGTATAGAATTCAACAACGCTGATATTTCAGTAGTATATTTACTTTTTTTAACAAATATGTGTTTGTGAGCTCTGAAAATCCCAATTAAATGTAAAAATCGACAAAATGACACCACTCTGGTCGGGAACTAAGTACCTCCGTCTGGGCTTACTGCCAATCATTGTAATAAGCTCTACCCTTCGCCCCAGACAGCCAGCACAGAGAGAGCATACTGAGAGGAGAAACGGAATCAGTGGGGGATATTTATCAAAGTCTTCTGAAAAGATAAAGTTTTCTTTATAGAATATTCTACCATTTTTTTGCAGTAATTCCCATTTTAGAAATCCATCAACTTATATATTGTCTGCAAAATTAGACTGTTTTTATATTTGAAAAAAAGGGTGGAAGCATTTGTGAATCCTCTGCGTCAGCGGAAAAAATGGCGATTATTCAAAAATTAGGATGCAACAAATAAAAAAAACTCCATAGATTTCATAAACTGCGCCAAATATTCCCCGAAAGGTGGATGGAAAAGTGTTAGTGACAGTGCCACGGGTACCCTGGCTGTGCCCAAACTGAACTGGATTATGATGTCAAACTGTCAGCATGCCCACCTGGCTCAGTCCTATTTGCAGTTGGTGAGGACCCTACTTATACCTGTAATAGTATAGGTGGGTTGGACCTAGTGGCGCTCCCTTGGTGATGGTTGGGGGCCTTAATATAAATAATCAGAGTAGAGGACCTAGTGGCGCTCCCTTGGTGACGGTTGGGGGCCCTAATATGAATAATCAGAGTGGAGTACCTAGTGGCTCTCCCTTGGTGATGGTTGGGGGCCCTAATATGAATAATCAGAGTGGAGGACCTAGTGGCGCTTCCTTGGTGATGGTTGGGGGCCCTAATATGTATAATCAGAGTGGAGACCTAGTGGTGCTCCCTTGGTGACGGTTGGGGGCCCTAATATGAATAATCAGAGTGGAGTACTTAGTGGCGCTCCCTTGGTGATGGTTGGGGGCCCTAATATGAATAATCAGAGTGGAGTTCCTAGTGGCACTCTATTGGTGATAGTTGGGGGCCCTAATATGAATAATCAGAGTGGAGTTCCTAGTGGCACTCTATTGGTGATGGTTGGGGGCCCTAATATGAATAATCAGAGTGGAGGACCTAGTGGTGCTCCCTTGGTGACAGCTGGGGGCCCTAATATGAATAATCAGAGTGGAGACCTAGTGGCGCTCCCTGGGTGAAGTGAGTGTCTCAAATATGAATAATCAGAGTGGAGGACCTAGTGTCCCCCCAGCCCCCACATGCTATTGCCCAAATACACAAAATTGGCATGGCCCCTGCCCCTCCCCCAGGTTGCTAGTGGTCCTTAATCCCCTAGGCAACCCTCAATAGTAAAAAATTACCCTACAAACCTGGTAGTAAAGGGACACTCCAGGCACCCAGACCACTTCTGCCCATTGGAGTGGTCTAGGTGCCAACTCCCACTACTCTTAACCCTGCAGGTGTAATTATTGCAGGTTTTTATAAACTGCAATAATTACCTTGCAGGGTTAACTCCACCTCTAGTGGCTGTCTACTAGACAGCCACTAGAGGGCACTTCCTGGTTTCTAGCACAGGAAACCTGGGCTAGAGCATCGCTGGACGTCCTCACGCTATGTGAGGACCTCCAACGTCGCTCATTTCCCCATAGGAAAGCACTGAAATGAATTTTCAATGCTTTCCTATGGGGAGTGCTAATGCGCATGCGTGGCATTGCCGCGCATGCGCATTAGGTCTCCCCAGCCGGTGGGCGGGATCAGTCTTGCCCACCGGCCGACGCAATCAGAGGGAGGAGCGGCGCGGAGGAAGAAGTTTTCACCCCTTCAGCAACCTGGGATTGAGGGG